GTATCACTGTCTTTAGTACCCAGTGTTTTCTGGTGTGGCATAGGTTTCTTGGGGGTTCTTTAGATTAATGCTCCTGTCACACAAAGGTCCATTCTTGATTAATGTCCTTCATTTTAACAGCTTAATTTAGGTGGGGAAAGACCTTTGGTCTTCCATGAACTTTTACCTAGTAGGAGCTATTCCATCAGGCTTCCTGAACTGGCTGGTCATTATAAGAACCGGTGCCTCAACTTGCTTTTCTCCCTCTTCCCTCCACATCACTTTTTCCTCGTGTCAATCGTAAGCTTATTGTAAGCCATCCTGGGTTTGGGCTGCAGCTTTCTGCCTGCCCCACTTTAGATTACTTAAAAACCTGAAGCTTTACCTGTAACTTTTATATACAGTACTCTGCACTACCCAACATTTTACAGCTCTTGTTAAGCACTTGGCAGCCTTCCCCCCTTTCACTCAGGCTCATTTGTTAAAGGAAATCTTTCTATTCAACACTGTGTTTAGATCAAGAGCCTTAGGAGCAACACGTGAGCTTTCTTTCAAAGCTTTTAAAATTTGCTTACAATTTGATCCTTCCAGGGCATACTGGTAGTCTGAAAAACTCCCATGAGATTTAGAAGGATTGTGCTAGCGAAACAGAGGACAGGCCTATTTGAAAGAAAAACCACACGTAGTATTATTAGAGCTGAAAGGAAGTCTTGGAAAAGTTGAATCCTATTAAAGCCAATGCATAAATTCATCTCATGTTTACCACATCTTTATCCCTTATGAATTAGCCCCATAATTTGAATCCTTTGACCTCTAATAGTGGGGACCAGATGGCAATCAGGAACATGGCATTCTAGAACTTCTGTCCCACTTTTCAGTTAAAACATACTATTTTTTTTAAAGGCTGCAACACAGTTCTGAACAGCAGCAGATTAAAATAGTTAAAATCAGAAGATAATGCGGGGGGGGGGGGGAGCCTAGGAAAAATTTGGCGCACCACGGCAAAACATTCTAGTACTCCTTTGTACAATTTTTGCAGTTTTTTTTCTTTTACAGGGTACCTGGTTCCTGGCAATCACCTGTTGAACTGCAGTCAACAGGAATGTCAGTAGGGGTTTCCCCCCTGAAGTAAATGTGTATTTTGTTTGTTAAATACTGACAATAATGCCATTTGCAGCAAATAAAAAACCGTTCTTTAGAAAGTCAGCAAGTTCCATAGTGGAGGGTCACAACTCTGAAGGTTGAACTATTTGCAATTTGATGTTAAATTAATTAGTAGCCACCCACCTTACCTCAGAAGGTAGGGACACCCAGAGTCAGGCATCTTTAGATACAGCTCAGCTGTAAGAGGTAGCCCTTTTGATCAACTATAGGTCCCTAAATGTTTTAGAAAAGGGGTAAGCGTATGCAATTCCCTTCCTACACATGCTCTTCTTTTAGTAACAAGTTATAAGGAGCCTGCTAAAACCATTTTTGTTTCAGCAAGCTGGTTAAGCGTGTAATTTTAGCATGTACATAGTTTTAGTAAGTAGAAATGTTTCGTAATTACTATACAGTGGTACCTCGGGTTACAGACGCTTCAGGTTACATACGCTTCAGGTTACAGACTCCGCTAACCCAGAAATAGTACCTCGGGTTAAGAACTTTGCTTCAGGATGAGAACAGAAATCGTGCTCTGGCAGTGCGGTGACAGCGGGAAGCCCCATTAGCTAAAGTGGTACCTCAGGTTAAGGACAGTTTCAGGTTAAGAACAGAGTTCCGGAATGAATTAAATTCTTAACCTGAGGTACCACTGTATATGTTTTGGGGTTGTTTTTTTGTTGGAATATTTAATGACTCTCTTAAACCACTCAGAAGCCTTTTGTTCTAGTAAGTGATATATAAATTTGGGAAAATAAAATCTTTTAAAACCCAGAGTGTTTAAAATTTTGCAAAGGGAGGCCTGTGAAGTCTTTTAGATGAACCCTATACTGCCATTTCATTCCAACTTGCAATAGCTTGGTCATGTTATTACTGCGTCTTTTATGGTCTTCAGCTATATATTAGGCATTTTGGATACTTTTGGTGACAGAATACACACACAGCCCTGCAAAGCAGACTAGGTGGAGCAACCCAGGGAACACACTGTATCCGAATTGGACCAAGGTCTTACAGAGGTGGCAAAATGTTAGCTATTGAAGAGCCAAATGTTATATATGCAGTAGATCCCAGAGCCTGCAGAGAATTCCAGGAGGTTGGTATAACCGTTTCAGTTTAGGCACTATCAGGTGAAAGTTGTAGGACCTATGTTTTCTAGCTGTATCAACATGGAAAAACATTCCTGTTTCAATGCTGTGGATGGATAACTAAAAAGGAGGAAATAATGGAACAGAACATATCCGAGTAAAATTTGTCGTAGGCAAAAATAGCATGAAATTGGCTAAGACACAGCTAGGTCTGAAGATTGCACTGAAAGGATCTCTGGACAGTTTTCCAGGACTCTTCCAGGACTCTACACACACACATAGCATGATTTGTCATGGTTTACCACTCAAACAAACCACAAGTGGTAAACCAAAAATATAGCAAGGCTTGTTTTTCAAGCTGCATGCCCTATTCAGCCTTTCCATCCCCCTCTTCCACAATGGAAAGCACTGGGGAAAAGGTAAAAGTAAAGGACCCCTGGATGGTTAAGTCCAGTCAAAGGTGACTATGGGGTTGCGGCACTCATCTCTGCTTTCAGGCCAAGGGAGCCGACGTTTGTCCACAGACAGCTTTCCAGGTCATGTGGCCAGCAGGACTAAACCGCTTCTGGCACAACGGAACACCTCTACGGAAACCAGAGCGTACGGAAATGCTGTTTGCACTGAAGGCTTGATTTAAGCTAGCCACACAAACATTTTTTTAGCACAAACAAGCATTTAATTATTGGGAGAATAGAATTCAGGATAAAGGAATGCAGGCCAAAATTGTATGTACAGTACAGAGGAATGTACAAAAGAGGAGCTTAGGAGTCATAGCAGACTAAAGTAAGATCTTCCACAATTTTGTAGCTAATAAGGCTAAGTAAGTAAAATATCAAGTGTGATTAGGAGCTTGTTGCGCTCCCCATTCTAATAAAACTGTAGTATAGAAATTCCTCTGATCCAATCTCCCAGCTTAAAGATTCTTTTTAGAGTAGTGGTGGGGTGCTCAGATTTTGATGTATAATATATTCACACAATCCACATTACATCCACCTGCATTCCCCCCCCCCCTTAGTGATGCTGTTGGAGGAGGACGGGGAAGGAAGGCCAAACATGCTTCTCCCACAGACTCGCCACTGAGTTCCATCACAGCTTTGGAAATCAAAACAATTTCCCACCTTACATGCCCTTTGGTAATAAGATCCTTATTGGAACTCCTCCTCTGCTTTAGAAGAAGAGTGGAGAACTTGTGGCCCTCCAGGTGTTGTTGGACTACAACTCCCATCATCCCTGAACGACACTTGTAGGGCTTCCACATCTCTGCTTTAAAAAAAAAAAAGAACCTACGTCACACGGACTTATGGAAAGATAGGTAAAGGGACCCCTGACCATTAGGTCCAGTCGTGGCCGATTCTGGGACTGCGGCGCTCATCTTGCTTTATTGGCTGAGGGAGCCGGCGTACAGCTTCCGGGTCATGTGGCCAGCATGACTAAGCCGCTTCTGGCGAACCAGAGCAGCGCACGGAAACACGTTTACCTTCCTGCTGGAGTGGTACCTATTTATCTACTTGCACTTTGACATGCTTTCAAACTGCTAGGTTGGCAGGAGCAGGGACCGAGCAACGGGAGCTCACCCCATTGCGGGGATTCGAACCGCCGACCTTCTGATTGGCAAGTCCTAGGCTCTGTGGTTTAACCCACAGCGCCACCCGCGTCCCTTATGGAAAGATAGTTTTGTGTAAATGAGAAATCATTGCGTGTTTGAATGGCATTGTGCTTGGAGGGTGAGGTCTGTAGGATGGAGTTTTCATTTTTGATTATGTCTAATACAATAAAAGAAAGAAAGAAAAATAATCTACTACATTGCCATCTGTATAGCTGCAAAAGGTGCTTCTGACACAAGAAAACTCTGGGAAAGAAATGTTTACCAGCTGCGCTATATTCAGAGTACTGAAAACGTCATAGACTCTAAACAGTTGAATCACAGGGCAATATTACCTAAAGGCTTTGTATATGTTGATCACTTACGTCTTTAAAACGTGTACCTCTTAAGAAAAGAAAAGAAATTTACGAAGGTACACTACAGGCAACTTCCAATTTAGGTGCACCTGAATGACGCACAATCATGCACATTCACATGGTACAGAACCAGAAAGTAACCCCAAAATGTCATAAACACAGCATGAAAAGGGATGGAATGGGATGGGGCAGAACGGGCTTATGCCCTGCTCCACCAATGAGCGTGGAGGGAACCTCCACAAAAAACAAGGAGTGCCTGTATGGTTTCTGGTGCTATAATCATGGAATTGCAGGACTGTGTGCAGTGCCGGATTTACGTATAAGCTAAACAAGCTATAGCTTAGGGCCCCACTCTTTTGGGGCCCCCCCAAAAAATTAAAGGAAAAACAACAACTGGATGTACATTTCCAAAATATAAGATAAACAATAAATAAAATAAAACCTACATACAGTTAGAGCTTAATAATTATTTCGCTATTAATATGCTTCTTAATTGTATTTCAGTTCAACAATTACTTTGATAGAATACATATTTTGTTATGTGCAAATGGCTTTAGATACCTATTAGGTCCATAAATTACCATATAGCATATATTCAACACAAAAAACAGCGACAATTTGTTGTTGACAAAGGACAGCTGGACATATAAAGGGCCCCATTACCTCCAGTAGCTTAGGGCCTCATCAAACCTAAATCTGGCCCTGACTGTGTGCGAGTGAGAGAGCTCTAGCATGAAACCTTTGTGTTCCCAGTAGTAAAATCTGCCCCCCCCCCCCGGCTACAAACCCACCATACACCTACACAGTGGAAGCACAAATTGTCCTGTGTCCTCTTACCTGGCAAAGCCCGCAATTCCTTTGGCAGGAGCTGCTCATAGGTGTTAAAGATGCCAGCATCAGAAATCACAACAGGAGCATAGATGTTAACAAGATCTTGACCTTTCTTTACACTTACACCTGAAAATAAGACCAAAATGTGTTCAGTCTGGGTAAAGTTTCTTTTTGATTACTCTAATCAAAGAGCAGGGAGAAATCCTTTCCTGTCGATCACAGAGAAGACCAATGACAATTCATAGCTGGAAGCTGGTAAGGAGGTGAGGTTTTGTTTTCGTTTTTAATGTTTCTTTTTGGTGGCACCTGCAAGTTCCAAGGGTTTCTGTTAGTTTTTACAAAGTATGCAAACCTTGCAAAGTATGCTAATACAATCATCCTCATTTTGCAGATGGTCTGAGGAAGAAGGGTTGGGGCGGGTGATCAATATTACAGGCAATCCTTCAACTGGCAAAAGAGGCTCAGTGAAATTAAGAGGGAGGGTTTAAGCATGTAAGCAGCTTAAACACTTTCAATGAAGTTTAATGTGGGTGGGAAGAGATTTGGTAGGATTGTTTATTGCCTTGGTTCACATGAAGGTACAAGCATCTCCTCTCTTTCCCTGTCCTTCACAAGAGACTCACTGACATACCTAAATTTCAGGCAAGACAAACCGCAGAGTGATGTTAATTTTTGCATGTTAAATGCATCCTGGGAAATGCAACTGAAAGCAAGAGCATGTGGTGATTCCTTCTCTCAAGGTTTCTCTTTCCACACCCAGCAGCCGAGCTCAGAAAATAGGGGAAAGTTCCTATTTTAGTCCTTATACACGATGGTCTCATGCAGATGCCACAGTAAACCATGCTCCACCTGCTGACTGTGGAACAAATCACACTTAGAAGCCAAAGTATGTTCTTGGCCTCCAGATTGTGGTCTGCAAATCTGGGATCTAACATTCAGACGTCACAACAAGCTTCATGGCTTGCTACTTCTGCTTGTTCTAGGGGCAGAGAGGGAGTGGCTGAGTGACACGCTTGTTCATAGTAAGCCATGAACCATGGTTTATGACCACATTCAAAAAAGGCCAATACCTTAAGCCAAGAAAGCTGCAGCCAACCAATGTAGGAATAGAGAACTATTTTCAACCCAAGGGTTGCATTCCCTTCCAGCCAGCCTCCTGAGAGGCACATACCAATGGTAGACAGGGCCAAATGAAAGAGTAGACAGAGCAACAGAAGTGAACTTGGCCTTTGTACAGTAGACTAGCTTCTGCACATAAATGCTCCTAAATAAGGCAAAAAAGGTTGACCCCTGGACAGTTAGGTCCAGTCAAAGGCGACTATGGGGTTGCGGCGTTCATCTTGCTTTCAGGCCAAGGGAGCCGGCGTTTGCCCACTGACAGCTTTCCGGGTCATGTGGCCAGCATGACTAAACTGCTTCTGGAGCAATGGAACACCGTTATGGAAACCAGAGTGCACAGAAATGCTGTTTACCTTCCCACCACAGTGGTACCTATTTATCTACTTGCACTGGCTTGCTTTTGAACTGCTAGGTTGACAGGAGCTGGGACAGAGCAATGGGAGCTTCCCCCATCACGGGGATTCGAACTGCCAACCTTCTGATCGGCAAGCCCAAGAGGCTCAGTGGTTTAGACTACAGCACCCTCCATCCAGGCATGCATTAGCTGCTGGACAAAAAACACTCAAGAGGGTGAAAGAGTACTTATGCCCCCAGGCCTGTGGTCCCCTCTCCTGATGTAGCCAATCCTGAGCTTGATGGACCAGCAAAACATCTTCCTACAACAGGGAGCTCTTGCATGGAAAAGTAAATAAAGGGTAAGAGCCCCAGAATCTCTTGGTTTAGAAATTAAAGCAGCGTGATCAAGGGGTTGCACATAAGCCCTGCGACTTCCCATTTCTTCCCATCCATGCAGCAATTCCTTGGGCTACACGGGATGCTTAAGGCACAATGCAAAGCGCTCTGGATCTTCTTGTTATAATCTGCACAGCAATCCTCTAATACAGATCAGTATTGTCCTCATGTTGCAGGTGGAGACAGGGGAGATGTGGCAAAGGTTACCTGAGTTAGCCAGGTGAGTTCATGGCAGAAGCGATAATGCACTGAAACCTGTGGTTTCCATATATTTGTTAGGCTACAGCTCCCATCCCCTCTGACCATGAGCCATGCTGGCTGGGGCTGATAGGAGCTGGAGTCCAGGGCCACAAGTTCCTCTCCCCTGCTACCCTGGGACCAGGATGGAATCTGAAATCCAGACTCTCAGCTGCTATACTAAAACAGCTCTGAGAAAGGGCTCACCGCAGGCTTTTCCTTGTGAGTTCACCAAGATGCTCTGCACAGGTGCTTTGGTGAGGACAGTCCCTCCGGCGCGTTCAATGATGGGGATGGAGTGAAATGCAATTTCACTGGAACCTCCCTGAGGGTACCAGGCACCTTCCAAAAAGTGATCGACAAGGATTGCGTGCAAAGGGAAGCTTGACTTCTCCGGAATGACTCCTGTAAGACACAGAACAAGGATTATTAAATCAGAAAGCTGAAATCGTAATTGTGGTTTAGCACACCCACCCCTACCTCTTGAAGTCCTATCCAAGCAAGGTCTACACAGGAATGGTCCAAGTCTACACACTCCAAGTAAGTCAGCTTGGAAATTAAGTCCATTAAAATATTAGCTCACAGTGCACCACGAAACATATAATGTCATGTCTAATCAAAGATAGTCATTTGTGGCCTTAGGGCTGGAGGTGTCTGCATAAGAGCTGCCTCTGTTTTATTTCTTAGAGGATATTTTTTACTTCCTTACCCAAACATTACATTCACCCCATGAGGCTCTCCTCTGCCCCCTCCTATCATCTGAAGTTAGGCGAATGGGAACAGGATGGAGGCCTTTTTGGTTGTGGCCCCTGCTTATAGGAATGCTCTTTCTAAGGGGGCTCACCTGGTACCTATTCTGATGTCATTCTCAGGCCAGTCAGGGACATTTCTATTTGCCTAGGCTTTTATTTCTTTTGCTGAAGTTTTCTGGCACATTCTGTTCGAGGGGTGGTTCAGATATACGAAGTCAGTTTATTAAGCTGACGAAGAGCATTGATCCAACATGTTTACCTGTCTCCCGCCCCCTCATCAGTTGCTAACCATTTGCTGCTTCTTTCTATATATATATATATATATATATATGCTTTCGTAGATTTTCACGGGTACAGGAATGCAGGTTTTGGTGTCCTCGGGTGTCTTCCCGTGTAAAAGTTGGGGTGTCTAGGCGACGTTTCGACGAGGTCTCACTCGTCATCTTCAGGCTGGTGCTTTCGGCTTCTTGTTACTGGAACAGAGCAGGATCTCAGTGTTTGAGTTCCTATAAATACTGTTGAGGGGGTGTGGTGTATAGCCTCCAATGTTCTGGGCAGAGAGGAAGTTCCCAGGCTAGTGTGCCTTTTCTTCTTTTGTTCCTTAATTACTTGAGGGATATCTTGAGTGATTTTTTGAGTGATATCCTGAGTACCACTTAGGTGGGTCATTAGGTGTGGATTAGTTGCTAAAGCCTTCGTGTCTTGACCTCTTGAACTTTGTGAAGAGTTTTTCTGAGAAGATGGCTGTACTGCATTTAGTTGTGCTCTGGCTTGGCTTCGTGTATAGGGGCGAGCTGTGGTTTTGTGTCCTGTGCCAGTCAGATCTGTGTAGGGATTGCAGGGGGGTGCAGCATCCGGAGGTGCCACCATGGTTTGGTTACTGGATGGTGTCTGTAATTTATCTGTGGAGAGGGTCTGGGTTTGGGTCTGGTGTGGTTGATTGGTGATGGCGTTCTGTGTGCCTCTGGATCTGGTGTCGGTTTTTGTGGGGAGGGCTAATTTCCAGATGTCTGGCAGGCGGGATGTGTCGTCACGCTTGTTCATGTTGTGAGGGTGTTTCTCTATCTCGATGGCTTCCATGATTATTCTCTTGTGGTGATGTTCCATGTTAGAGAGCAATTTGGAATCTGCAAAATTAATTTCGTGTCCTGTTTCTTTCATGTGTTGGAAAAGAGAGGAAGTTTTTTCTTCTTTTTTGACGGCATTCTTGTGTTCTGCGATACGTGCATTTATTCGTCTGTTTGTTTGTCCAATGTACGTGGCTGGGCAGACTTTGCAGGGTATTTCATAGACCCCTTGGTTTTCCAACTGGATTTTATCCTTGGGGTTTCTGAGGATATTGGCTATTTTTTTGGTTGGTGCAAAAGGCTGTTTTGATATTGTGTTTATGGAGGATTTTGCTAATTTTATCTGTAGTGCCCTTGATATAAGGAAGGAGGGCCATGCCATTGTTTTCTTCTGCCCAGCCACGTACATTGGACAAACAAACAGACGTATCTGTTTGTTTCGCAGAACACAAGAATGCCGTCAAAAAAGAAGAAAAAACTTCCTCTCTTTTCCAACACATGAAAGAAACAGGACACGAAATTAATTTTGCAGATTCCAAATTGCTCTCTAACATGGAACATCACCACAAGAGAATAATCATGGAAGCCATCGAGATAGAGAAACACCCTCACAACATGAACAAGCGTGACGACACATCCCGCCTGCCAGACATCTGGAAATTAGCCCTCCCCACAAAAACCGACACCAGATCCAGAGGCACACAGAACGCCATCACCAATCAACCACACCAGACCCAAACCCAGACCCTCTCCACAGATAAATTACAGACACCATCCAGTAACCAAACCATGGTGGCACCTCCGGATGCTGCACCCCCCTGCAATCCCTACACAGATCTGACTGGCACAGGACACAAAACCACAGCTCGCCCCTATACACGAAGCCAAGCCAGAGCACAACTAAATGCAGTACAGCCATCTTCTCAGAAAAACTCTTCACAAAGTTCAAGAGGTCAAGACACGAAGGCTTTAGCAACTAATCCACACCTAATGACCCACCTAAGTGGTACTCAGGATATCACTCAAAAAATCACTCAAGATATCCCTCAAGTAATTAAGGAACAAAAGAAGAAAAGGCACACTAGCCTGGGAACTTCCTCTCTGCCCAGAACATTGGAGGCTATACACCACACCCCCTCAACAGTATTTATAGGAACTCAAACACTGAGATCCTGCTCTGTTCCAGTAACAAGAAGCCGAAAGCACCAGCCTGAAGATGACGAGTGAGACCTCGTCGAAACGTCGCCTAGACACCCCAACTTTTACACGGGAAGACACCCGAGGACACCAAAACCTGCATGCATATATATATATATATATATATATATATATATATATATATATATAAATACACTTACATTTCAAAAGGCTCCTATAGAAAATGGATAGTCTGACTAAGCAGAGATTAAAACAGTTTCCTGGTTTACATGAAAACCTGGTTTCAACTAACACTTGGCCCAACACTTGCCCTCAGCTTTCAGTGTGAAAAGAAAAATTAAAAACAGGATGCTACCCTGCTGAGCTTCTCCACTTCTATCACACTTCATTTGTGGCCATTCACAGGCACAAGGAAATTCAACACAATGACATGTCGCACTTTTGATATTTACTGAATGATACCAGGGTAAGAAGAGACTATGGACCACCACTTTCAATGGCAGCCACGTTGATATACTTTGCATTGTCTAGTTCCACCCACAGTTACAAGTTTCAGCCCCCTTAAAAGGGGCAAAGGGATTGCCCTTTCATATGATAAATTTACGATGCGCATGCCTTTGAGGCAGCAGGGGACAGCATCACCTACCATAGGTAGGGAAGATATAACTGAACACTGCTCTCAGGTCTGCATTTGTCGTGAACTCAGCCGCCACTTCCGACAGAGTTTTGGATATCATCCTAAAGAAAGGGGAGATCAAAGCCAGCAAGCCGGTGCAGTGCAGAAACCAAACCAAGGGCATCGGGAGCATTTTCAGAATTGCCATGTGGGCGCTCCCTTTGGCGACTCTCTGCGGGAGGGCGGGAAAGCAGGGCGGAGAGGTGGGAAGAGAGAAAAGAGATGACATTTAATGCACACCTGAAAGACGCAGCATGAGACCTCAGCAGTTACAGGCACAAGAACTGAGGACTTCGGCATTCGCTAGGAAGATAGAAGCAGTTGTAGAGCAACCGGCAAAACAGAAGCACAGCCACAGCTGAGCGGAAGAGCGCATGCTATGCAGCTAGCAAGTGGTTGGAAAGACTGAACCCCCCCCCCCAAGATCCTGGAGAGCTGCTGTTAGACGGAATTTTTGATACTTGACTAGAGGGACCAAGAAGGGAACTTCCTTTGTTGAGAAAGCACAGTGGATATTCAGAATCAGCCAACCTAGGGGTGGGTGGGGTACAAGGAGTAAATTTATTATTATTATTATTATTATTATTAGTGCTCCAGGATTTAGAAGCCTCTACGTTGGGTCCAAGGCTGCTTCCTTTTTGCTGCAGCCCTTTTAATAACCTCAGTAAATATATGCGTTATTTAAAGTTACACATTTTGTGAGGTAGATTCAGCTGAGAAAGAAAAACTGGCTTCAGCGCTGTCCCGGGATCATCACAGTCAAGAAGGTATTTGAAATCAAGTCACATAACTTGTACTCTGTGGCAGGCAATACCCTCCAATGGTCATTTTGTGATGACCCTCCCAGAATATGTCCTCAAATTTCACACTGACCCAGAACATCTGGGGATCTCGACAGCCACCATAGCACGCACAATAAAAAATATAAGGCTGCAGTGCTGTTGAAGAAATTTAAGCTGACCCTATATGTTTTAGTTGCTTAATCTGTTGAGTTTGCATAACCTTGCAGGTAGGTAAAGACATTTTAAAAGCAAGAAATAGTCCTTTGTTCTTAAATGGTGAACATATACGTCAAAGCAGGCATCAGCTTACAAGGGCTGCTTCCCTTGTGTTGGAGAGAAGAGGGATTGCCTCTTAAGATGCTGCTTGCTTTCTGCAATTTGTATATGCACTTGTATTTTAAAAAATATCCCTGGTCTGATGAACCAGAGCACCTTTTTAGTTCATCTACGGCAAATCCTTTGAACACCTACTCAGAAGTAAGCTCTGCCGAGTTCAATGGAGGCGAGATTGCATTCTAGATTGCATTTCAAAAGTGTCAAAAATATCAGTTAATCTAACAAATGGGTTTAAGACTTTGCAGCCATAATACAAAATCAAAGGTCTTTCACCAAGGCGCAATGAAAAAAATGATTACCTTGACAAGCGTCACAAATCTGTCAATATTAGCTTCTTCGCCAGGAAATTGCTTCTTTAGGCCTTTGACATATTCCTTCTCCCCACTGTATAGGTAATACTTCTTGCAGCTGTCAAGATCTCCCAGGATGACAGTATCAAAGGGAGAGTCCATCTGGGCCCATTGCAGCTGCCCGTCCGTGAGTTGATCAATCATCACGCGTAGGATAGAGTTCTCCTGCATCTGTCCAATGTAATGGATCCCTGGAAGGCAACAGGTCAAGTGTCATAATGGAAAAGTGATAACGAAAGAGATTAGGTCCTAAATTTTAGAACTGGGGTACATGTGTGTGCTGTGCATCTTTCAGAGTTGGCCTGCTTGGGGAGTCGGGTGGGTGGTGGAACAAGCAACTGATTTTAGTCCACAAATGATACACAACACTGCATAATTGATGACTCCACCCCGATAATTTGCGTTCTGCTTCCTTTGCATTTAAATTGAAATACTTTATTGTCACTTGTACAACTTGTATACAGTGAGATTACACGGGCACCCCCCTCTCAGCTCTCATAGTCTTAATTCCTCTTGTTTACTGACGCACACCCACCAAACCCGAAACTCAGTTGCCCTGTTGTTATCTTTTCATTTAGCAGCCTAACAGCCCATGGATAGAAGCTGTTTTTTTACCCTGTTGGTGTGACTAATCATGCTTCTATATCTTCTGCCTGAGGGAAGGAGATCAAGAAAGTGCCCGCCAGGGTGTGAATCATCACCAGTTTTGTGTGTGAATAGGTGAAGTATTGGGAGCTCAGAGCCGCAGCCTATGAATGCGCCGCCATCTTGGAATATGAAGACTAAATGAAGGATGGCGGACAATGTACGATGACATAATTGTGTCGAACTTCACATGTAGCAGACAGCGAGAGAAATGAAGTTTTGTCAGGAGTCGAACTGCAGCAGATGGTATTTGCTGGAATCAATTCCTTTCTGGATAGGAAATGAAGAAGCCAACACTGGCAATTTCTGCGAGAGTTCTCCAACATCCCTACATGTATGCATGGGCGTAGCAAGGGGGTGCAGTGGGGAAGGTCCGTCCCGGGTGTCACCACTGGGGGGGGGTGACAAAATGCTGGGCGGCACTCACCATGGGGCCTGCAGCTCGTCCAAGCCACACGTCTCTCCTGGGAGTGACATGGTGGCTTGGGCGCCCACAGGCTCCGCGCTGCCCCAAACAGTCTCCCCATTGCCTCCCCCTCAGCTGTAGGGCAACTGAGTTGGAGGAGGAAGGCAGACTCCTTGGAGGCCCCACGGTGTCCCCGTGGGCAGCTGGCCCCACCCCGGGTGCAGGACACACGCGCCGCCCCAGGCGCCCGATCGGTTTGCTCCACCACTGCATGTATGTAGTTGTAACTGCTCAGGCCCACTCCTGATTGTGCGGGTCACCTTACCTACGTCAAACTCGAAACCTTTCTCGTTGAAGGTGTGGCAGCAGCCCCCTGCCTTCCCATGCTGCTCCAAGACCAGCACACGCTTCCCAGCTTTAGAGAGCATCACAGCCACCGCCAGGCCCCCATAGCCGCTTCCAATGACGACAGCATCCAGGCCGTCAGGAACCTTGTCCCTGGAAAAGACTGGGAGACGGGGACAGAAGACATGAGTATCATGTAGCCGGGCTAGCTATTAGGCTATAGCATAAGAACGTAAAAGCCACATAATCTGGCATGTATTATCCCTGCTCTGTTCCCACACTACTCTCCCTGACCCCCCAACCTCCAAGGTAATCCTGTTGCTATAATCCTCGACCTACCTCTCCCACTCGCATCTTCCTGCTGGTTATCCTAATTTGCTACATCACAGCCAAAATTAGATTGTGTGTAGGAACTCTCAGATCCGCCACAACAGAGAAGATTGAGATACACACACAACAACAACACCACCACACAAACACATACACGCACCCCAGCTACCAGCAACTGCAATTTGCTTAGTATAAATGATGGAATTTCGGTGTGTGGAGACACAGAAGTGTTATTTTATCAGATGTGTTTGGAGGTAACTATTTGTAGCTTAGGAGAGATATATATCAGGGGTACAACCCACTGGGAATTCTGTGCTGTGCAACTGAATTGTGCATACGCATCTGAGCACTCAATTCCCCTTGCCCAAGTCTAGTTCATTTTGATAAGTGGACCCCCTCACTGTTGGCAAGTTAGGATCAAACAAGATGAAATGCCATTCATGGAATTGTGTGAATGAACTGCAGGTACAGTCCCCCAAATTGGTACCCTGGTATGGGGAGGAGGAGAATTCAGCCGTTTGCTCTGCTGCAACCTCAGATTCCCTGTGTGTTCTATTTTCACGAGGCAAACAACAACAACCCCACTTCCATTCATTCCAATGGGCGTTTCCTTCCCAATGCAATAGCGGGAATTCAGTTGATCTTGTTTGGCACTGCAATTGGGGCTGAACCCTTTGGCCCCCATGCCAGGGTCCTGATTGGCAACGGGACACCCAAAATTTAATAATAATAATAATAATAATAATAATAATAATAATAATAATAATTTATACCCTGCCCATCTTGGTTGAGTTTCCCCAGCCACTCTGGGCGGCTCCCAATCGAACATTAAAAACACAATACAGCATTAAACATTAAAAGCTTCCCTGAACAGGGACACCTTCAGTTGTCTTTTAAAAGTAAAATAGTTCTTTATTGCCTTGACATCTGCTGGGAGGGCGTTCTACAGGGCAGGTGCCACTACCGAGAAGGCCCTTTGCCTGGTTCCCTGTAACCTCACTTCTTGCAGGGAGGGAACTGCCAGAAGGCCCTCGGAGCTGCACCTCAGTGATGAACGATGGGGGTGGAGACGCTCCTTCAGGTATACAGGGCTGAGGCCGTTTCAGGCTTTAAAGGTCAGCACCAACACTTTGAATTGTGCTCAGAAACGTACTGGGAGCCAATGCAGATCTCTCAGGACCGATGTTATGTGGTCCCAGCAGCCACTCCCAGTCACCAGTCTAGCTGCTGCATATAGTTGCATATAGAGCAGCCTTCACTCTCCTGAGGGTTTCTAGTGGCATTCTCTTTACAACTGTCTGAGCCATATAAACCTTTTGTTAAATAAAATATATTGATCTGTAGAACTGGCACTGCTACCACTGCCACGTAATACTCATTCTGCAATTATAAGAAATCAATCTTTTAAAGGGGCAGCACCAGCACTTTGGAACTCCTTCCCTATTGACACCTGGCAGAAACCTTATTTTTGGTACCTGTTTAAAACATTTTTGTTTTGTTTAGGCAAGCCTATCTGAGCATGTAGAAGTTACCTCTGCTTTTCAGACACTGTTGATTTTAATCAACTTTTAAGTGGTTAAAACGGTGGATCATCAGAGGTGCTGATGGAAGTCCAAAAAGATTGTATAAGTGATAAAGTTTTGTGGTATGTACTATAATTTATATGTTAAAGTTAATAAAAATTATTATATAAAAAAGATTTTAATCAACTTTTGAATGTTTTCAAATTCCTGGTCTTTGGGGGTTTTTTGAGAATTTTAATTTTTTTGTCATCTGTTTAAAGGTTCTCTTACAATCAAATGGTTATACACATTTTGTTAGATAAATGTGGGTTTGCATTTAATCTGGAGGAACAGCTGAAAGGAAGCAGGGAGTGACAACTACCTGCAGTGCAACATGGTCTATTTTCCAAGGCACTAGGTGAAGTTAATTCAATCACATTTTATCAAATGAAGGGTTTTCCTTCCTAATTCTTCCCAGACTAGAATGGTGGCCAGGCCGCTCTTTGGCAAAGAATTTTGCAGCCATTGTCATAAAGGTGGTATAGTCAGCTTTATGGGACAGCTGGTAGGAGATTTCCTTGAGCAGGGTTCTAAAACATTCAGATGCGGATGGACAGAATGCAGACTAAAGAACATGCACAGTCATACCTTGGTTCTCGAACAGCTTAGTTGACGAACAAATCGGCCCCCGAATGCCCAAAACCCGGAAGAAAGCGTTCTGGTTTTTGAACATTTTTTGGAAGCCGAATGCCCGATGCAGCTTCCGCTTGAGTGCAGGAAGCTCCTGCAGCCAATCAGAAGCCATGCCTTGGTTTTTGAACAGTTTCGGAAGTCAAACGGACTTCTGGAATGGATTAAGTTCAAGAACCAAGGTACCACTGTATTGATAACACTCCATAGAAGAAGTTTCTAAACCCACCTTTAAATAAAGGGTCAACTACACCCCCCCCCCGCATAGCAGATGAAATGCTAGACTCGGCTTCTATCATTCACCAAATCTTATAGCACATGAATTGTCTTACAACAGGGGTGGCCAGCTCCCAAGAGACTGCGATCTACTCAGAGTTAAAAACTGGCAGTGATCTATCCCCTGTTTTGGGGTTCAGGTCAAAGTTGTTGAACTTTTTAATGGGGGGGTCTACCCCAGACTGCTTGGTCATGATCTACCTGTTGGACATGCCGGTCTTACGATGTTATCCCATTTGCCTTCGCAGCAAGGTAGATCAGCATCATTTTGTAGCGGGGCTGATCTAGCATATTGTTCAAAGTCCATCAAGAAAATCCATTACTATAAGAACTGAAATCCAAGTCTCCTTAAAAGAATCCCTAGTATGTTCAGTTCTCCAATCCAACAAACACATTAAGGAACAGAAGAGATGAAGTACCTGTGTTTTGTTAATATTCAAATGAAATGAAATGAATCCAATCTTATTTTCTCCACTGTACTTATGGATACTGGGCGGGGTACCTGTGTGTTCTCCCTCATATGTTCAACCCAGTCATAAGAGGGTTCTGTGCAGGGTAGCTTTACCTGCTGCTCATTCAATTGCCAGGCACACACCCACACCCCTGCTGGCAGTGGTGTTGGGCAAACTTGAGATGGGTCCCTGCATGTGTATAAATGTAAAGACAATGTACACCTCCTTCATGTGAGGGGCAATCCTAAGCAGTGGTGTAGCATGGGGGCATGGGGGGCCGTGGCACCAGGCACAGAATTCTTAGGTACCCCCATGACAGGCTCCCTCGTCAAGGCTGCATGGCTGACATCTTCTGGAGCCATGGGGAGGTAAGCAGAGCCTGGGCTGTATCTTTGTGGCTGTGGCGGTACCTCCTTCTCCTCACAGCCAGCAAACAGATGCCTGCCCCTGGGTGGAACTCCTGCCAGCTGGAGCCCAGACTTTTCCGGGCCTGCGCCGGTCCTTCCCTGGGGCCTCCCTCCTGGTGTGTGTCTTTGAGCAAGGTGAGAGGAGAGGAGAGCCACCCACTTGCCTGGGACCCGCCAGCAGCTGACCTTGTGCTGCGCGGCTAAGGTGAGGCAGCCAGGGAAGGACTGCGCTTGGTGCCTCAGCCTGCTCTCTGCCACCCTCCTCCTAGGGCAGCTGTGGCTGTGGCTCCAGCACTGCTGGGATGCCACCAACCCTGCCAAGGAAAGCCAGCCGCCGCTCCCGCTGGGAGCTCGCTTAGCTGAGAGGGCGAACACGGTGACCTCCATGAAGGGCACCACAAGGGTGCTGCAAAATTCACCTGTTGCCCTCTATGCGGTGTCTGCAAAGAGGTTAGGGGGCACACAATCCTTGCCTTGCCCCAACACATGCTATGCCACTGATGCTAAGTCAATCAGGTCCCCCCCTTTGTGTGGAGGTCTATGTTTGTATATCATAGGGTCTGCCCTCAAGTTCCCTAAGCAGGGATGTGGCTGGCAAGGGTGATCCTCTCACATGTTGGGGGAATGCACAAAGTGGGTTATTTTTGTGCTTCCCTCTTTCCAACTCACACTTTTGCCAGAGGGAAGAGGGGCTGGCTGTATTGGACCCCTGACTGGGAGGCAACAATGTTCTAGGAAATGCCTGTGGAAGCTACCAGAGACATAATATGCTCAAGATCATGTTTAGCTCCTTTACAGTCTTGGCTAAATGACACCAGGGACTGCATTTCAAATTACAGTCCCAATGTCATTACAAAATAATAACGTCACTACAGCAGCAAGACTAGTTTTAGCAAAATGATGGAGACCAGAAAGCTCTCCAGCCAAAATTAAAAAGTTATCAGAGAAAGAAAGAGGGCTGAAGTTAACAGCCTATAAAAGACCTGCTCAAAAGCAAACTAAACTCCAATGGGACAAGCCAATTGAAGCTAAGCATTTTAACACCCCACTGATTCCAGCTGGAAAGTTAAACATGTGCTGTACAACAGCATCCCATACATACTTACACAGTGTTCAATGGTATCAACTCCCAGGAAAGTTTGGATAGGGCTAAAGCTCTCTCTTCCATTCAAAGGGCTCAGTGCTGGCTGAATTAAACCTCCATTAGATGGAAAAGGAATCACTTTATTTACATCTATGTAATATACAATATTCAGTATAATATGAATTTTCTATTACAAGACTCTAATGCAAGTGTGAAATTTGATACTGGTGTTAATACATATTTTTGCCATTACATACTGCAAGCTCCTAACCTGAAATTCACCATTTTGTCAAGAAAAGAATATCTAAGGCAGTCTCCTTCATAACACAGCTGAAATGTAATTATTTCCACCTAGCAGGGTTCTATTTATTTAGGGCTCAACTGAGTCCGAGGTACAAGTGTTAGCAGACAAAGCAAAATAGGAAGATTTTAACTAGTTAGTTTTTAAAGGGGGTGACCTTGGGCCAGTCATCGTCTCTCAACGAAGTTGTTGCGAGGATAAAAATGGGGAGGTGAGAACCACGGAAAGCTGCTTGGTGAAAAACTGTATAACTTCCAGTGCTAAGGCAACAAAAAGAAGCTGCCTTGTAGCAGGTTAGCCTATTTCCCATCTAGTACTGGCACCTGCAACTTTGATTGGCAGGGTCTCCAACAGAGGTGGCTCTTTCCCATTGCTTGTTTTTAAACTGAAAATACCAAAGAGGCAGAATTTGGGGACTTGGGCAAGCAAAACACGAGATAACCATCTTCTATACTAAGCTCGACAGCCCGCTAAGCTCTGAACTAAACAGCGCGCGAAGCAACAAAGGGAGGGAGAAGAAAACCTTCTTTTAAGGCTGCAGCCCCGTGCGCTCTTGCCAGCCCAGGAGCCCCACGGAACAGCGCCTTAATACGCAGTAAACATTCCTAGGAATGCATTGATCCCTTCGCTCTGCCACCACTGGGCATCGTTCACGCGCCGCTTGACCCCCCACCCAGCAGCCCCGTTTCGGGGGGCTCCCTTTGCCAGCCTGGCAGCGCCCCCCGCCGGGGCTGGCTAGCTGGGGCTGGCCGGTGGCTACCTTGCTTGAGGACCTTTCTGCGCGCATCTTTGTCGGTCACCAGAGGCGCGGGCGGCCGCCTGGAATCTGCCCGGAAAGGGTTGGAAGAGGGGCTCCGGGTGCCCAGAGCTCTCCAAATGCCCAGGAGGAGGAGCGCGCCCACGAGCGCGTACACCCACATGGCCGCCCCGGCGAGCGCTGCGAGGACGCCAAAGTGAGACCCCGGCTCAAAGAGCGCAGACATAGCACCACCACCAGCAGCCGCCTCCTCCTTCTAGTAGGCTGGCCGCAGCGCGCTCCTGCCCCTTAAAGGCGCAGTCCAGCCTCTCCCTGGGACAAGGGAGCATCCTGCCAGGGAGTGCCAGGCATCCTCTGAAAGTGCAGCCAGGAGATCTTTGGAGAGCGGAGGGCGAGGGGTCTGGAAGAGCGGACGATGCATCGATATAAGGAGAGACCTGTCAGGGTTGCGCAAGGCCAGGGGACCTGCGTGACCCTCCAGGTTCCGCTGGCCTTCAACATGGCCAATGCTCAGGGATTATGATTATTTATTAAATTTGTATACCGCACTTTATCTGACAACCACAGGGTCAAAACATCAAAACACGACATTGAAACACAGAATACATATGATGGGAGTTGGTGTCCAACAACACTGAGAGGCCACGGGTTTCCCCATCTCTGACCTGCAGATTAGCCATGAGAACAGAGCGTTTCAACCTTTTCATGTTGGTGACGCACTTTTTAGACATGCATGCATCGTTCTGAGATACAGTAATTCAGTTGTACTAGCAAGCTGGAGGTTAAGCTTCTTGGATATTCTCTGCGTGTGCAAGAGAATAATTTGCTCCAGAAAGAGAAGAAGTTTCAAGAAGCAGAAGGCTGTGGTTGTTCTGTCTATGCAGGGACATTTTCTGTGGGTTCTTTGGACATGCACAGTGTGAAGGAACTAATGATAACAAAGGTTTTGTGTAACTTGTTGTATAACTTGTTGGGAGTCTCTGCAGAGACAGAGAGAGTCTTGGACTCTTGCTGGACTCTAAGCATGCCTTGACCACAGCAGTGGTGAATGTCTGTATATAGTAAAGGTAAAGGGACCCCGACCATTAGGTCTAGTCGTGACCGACTCTGGGGTTGCGGTGCTCATCTCACTTTATTGGCCGAGGGAGCCAGCGTACAGCTTCTGGGTCATGTGGCCAGCATGCTCTGGCCAACCAGAGCAGCGCACGGAAACGCCATTTACCTTCCCGCTGGAGCAGTACCTATTTATCTACTTGCACTTTGACATGCTTTTGAACTGCTAGGTTGGTAGGAGCAGGGACTGAGCAACAGGAGCTCACCCCGTCGAACCGCCGACCTTCTGATCAGCAAGTCCTAGGCTCTGTGGTTTAACCCACAGCGCCACCCGCGTCCCATGTCTGTATATAGTTGCTACCAATATGCTTTTATACCTGTCAAGTAAACTTCTACACTTGACTGAATCTTAATGGTGTCCATGAGTGTTTATTGCCTTCCAAGGTAGGAGCTGCAGTGAGATGTAACTCTGCTGAGTATAGACCCTGGCACACACACACACAGCGAAAGTGATGCCAGACCCAATCCTTTCTAAATCATCCATCAGGGGTTGATGGATTGATCTAACAAAACTCACCCCTTTCCATCCCAGAGAAGAGAGCCAGGAACTTTGGGTGACACACCTACACACTGTGGCTAGCACACTAATATGTCAGGACACACAGTTTGGAAAGCTCTGCACTAGAAGCTTCTTCAGGACCTGGGTCTAGGCAGGAAAACAGGGTATCAGCAGGGTCATGTTGGCAGTAGAGTGCCAGATAGCCATGAGCAGCTCAAAGTGAGATATTGGGGGTAAGAGGAGAAGTCTGGCTTGAACTAGAGCTCATTGGTAGCTGCTCTTCAAGGTGTCAGTCAGGTAAAGTCCTTTTTAAGTGGAGATGGCAGGGATTGAACCTGGGAACATCTGCGTGTGAAGCATATACAGTCAAACCCTGGTTGTTGAACATAATCCGTTCCAGAAGCCTGTTCGGCCTCTGAAATGTTAGACAACCGAGGCACAGCTTCTGATTGGCTGCAGGAGTTTCCTGCCCTCAAGCGGAAGCTGTGTCAGATGTTCGGCTTCTGAAAAACGTTCGAAAACCAGAACACTTACTGTTGGAGCCAAAAAGTTCCAAAACGGAGGCGTTTGGGAACCGAGGTTTGACTGTACTCTACTATTGAGCCAGTTGCTCCCCTCAACTGTGCAACACTAAGCAGCAGAGATTGTGGATGGGCACAAACCAAGCTGGTGTGTTGCTGAAGGGATCAGAGAGGGAATTTTGATGTGCACGGGGATTGAGAGACCTTGGAGCAGCACATAAGCTACTAATGACACTATTGCCCAAGAATGAATATTTTTGTTGGTGTTTACTGAAAGGTTTTTGTGATTTTATAGTAAAAGAATTCCACCCACATAACTATATGGTTTGTGTTACAGGATGTGCTCCAATAAGCTTCCATTTCCCATAGTTAATTTATGTGTCTTACGTATTATACCATGGACAGTTATAGCTTATACAAGTGCTGATTTGCCCATTCTGGGTTGTTTTTTAAATGAAGACAGATTAAAATTAAAAGGCAAATCAAAACAAAACATGATACTGATGCACAACAACACACCACTCTAAAGGTATTTAAGATACATGTAAGGCTTTCAAAGAGGAAGATACTGGTTTGTTTGTTTGTTTGTTTGTTTGTTTGTTGGAGATGTATGTGGGAAGGGAAGGAGTAAACCACAGGAAATTTGCATGAGACCTTTGAACTCAAGACAAAGCTGCTTTCATCATGACATTTTAAAGTTTGTGCACCTAAGGTGTTTGTGCTAAAACCACAATGGGGTGCATAAAACCTAAACTGTAGCATGCAAATTCATTAAACACACTGTATGCATCACTTACAGGATCCAGGGTTGCCCGCAGCCCTCAACCAAGCAAGATTTAGCTGGTTCCTGCCAAACCTGGGCTTGCTCCCCTGTGTAATTTATAGAATGGTTTCCATTAGAGGAATGGTTTTGTGTGTGTATGTCTCTGTGGACTTCAGGTGATTTAAACATTTGAATAAACATGGATAGGATATGGCCGAACTGTATTTTGCTGGATGCATGCAAGTGCCTGTAGCTATTATGCCTGTTGCAAAAACTTGTTCAGTTTAGACTATGGTTGAACTTACATGCTTGTCAAAGGCTAATACCTGTGACATCAGTGACAAAAAGCAGTACAGTCCCCACTAGAGGCAACATCTAATGAATTTAGGCTCTTCTCCATCACTATTAAAGGGAACCATTTTTTCCAGTATCAAAAGGCTTGTGTCAATTCCTTCAGTGGCCGTTTGGAGGCACCTGTGATATGTGGATTTATAGAGAAACTGCGAAGTTATACCTACCCTTCTATATGCAAATATAGTACACTTCACAAAACAATACTACTACTTTCTTCCCTCATGCTGGGGTGGGAGGTGTATTCTGATCACATGACCAACTTCTGTGGGATTTAATTACTAACAGGTGCCTACTGTCTGATCCAAATGTAAGCACAATCTTTTTTTATTTACTTTATTTAAAACATTTATAAAACACCTTTGATGCTACCTTTGAAGGTGACTCGGAAGCAACAATTAATCCAGAATGTGGCTGCTAGACTGATGACTGGGAGTGGATGCCGGGACCATATAACCCTGGTCCTAAAAGATCTACATTGCCTTCCAGTACATTTCAGAGCATAATTGAAAGTGTTGGTACTGACCTTTAAAGCCCTAAATGGCTTTGGCCCTGTATACCTAAAGGAGCGTCTCCACCTCCATCGTTTAGCCCAGACACTGAGGTCCAGTTTCGGAGGCTTTCACTGCGAGAAATGAAGTTACAGAGAACCACAACAACAAACCTATGGCTATGTAAAACATACTCAATAAACACACAAGACGTAACTGGCTGTACTTTTGAATAAATAAGGTATACTATTCATTGTATCAAGTTGTAGATTTCAATGGAAGTCTCATAAAGTTCAATGAAAAAAGCAGAAGACCCAGTGGATCAGTTCATTCTCTAGTCAGTTATTGCTCAAATCAATATTGTGCTTGTCCATCTAATCCTGTTTTGTAACAGTCGCTGCTTACTGCAACCACTACTATGCTATAAGATCCACTATCCTGTAGTATCACATATGATATGTACAGTTGTTTATGGTTTTTTATATCAATTTTGCTGTAAAAATGTGGGAGATTACGATATTGTATTTATTTGCATTACCTAGAGCCTGTTCTACTGATGAAGCCTAGGATGGCGAAAGAAGGCTAATATTCTGGAAATCCTTGTTTTAGACTCTGTGAAAGGATTCTGTGGAACTGTAACAACCCTTCATGTGGATTATTGGACTCTATGAACTGACAGGTGGATTAGATACTTATACATGTATGGACCTTATGCATGAACTAATAATAATAATAATAATAATTTATTATTTATACCCCGCCCATCTGGCTGAGTTTCCCCAGCCACTCTGGGCGGCTCCCAATCAAGTGTTAAAAACAGTACAGCATTTCATATTAAAAACTTCCCTGAACAGGGCTGCCTTAAGATGTCTTCTGAATGTCAGGTAATTGTTTATCTCTTTGACATCTGATGGGAGGGCGTTCCACAGGGCGGGTGCCACTACTGAGAAGGCCCTCTGTCTGGTTCCCTGTAGCCTCACTTCTTGCAGGGAGGGAACCTCCAGAAGGCCCTTGGCGCTGGATCTCAGTGTCCGGGCTGAACGATGGGGGTGGAGACGCTCCTTCAGGTATACAGGGCCGAGGCTGTTTAGGGCTTTAAAGGTCAGCACCAACACTTTGAATTGTGCTTGGAAACGTACTGGGAGCCAGTGCAGATCTCTCAGAACCGGTGTTATGTGGTCCCGGCAGCCACTCCCAGTCACCAGTCTAGCTGCCGCATTCTGGATTAATTGCTGTTTCCGGGTCACCTTCAAATGAACTGATCCACTAGGTCTTCTGCTTTTTCCATTGAACTTTATGAGACTTCCGTTGAAATCTACAATTTGATACAATGAATAGTATACCTTATTTATTCAAAAGTACAGCCGGTTACGTCTTGTGTGTTTATTGGTTACAGGGAACCAGGCAGAGGGTCTTCTCGGTAGTGGCGCCTTCCTTGTGGAACACCCTCCCAGTGGATGTTAAAGAGTAAAACAACAACATAAATTTTTGTAAGCATCTGAAGGCAACCCTGT